CTCGAATTAAAGATTTTGTTGTTTTTTTTGAAGAAGTTGTTTATTATTTCGAAGTTCTAGCGAAGATGGAATATATTCTATTAATGTATGAAAGATTTAGTGAAGCCGCGGGCGATGTTTTCGATCAAGAAAATAAATATTGATTTACAATTAAGGGGTTTGAATTATGTAAATTTGCTAAATTGTTTTTTACAATAGAAGAATTTAGTTCTAGTTTTAAAAAATTTTACAAAGACTGTCATTATTCGCACGGAAATGAGGAACTTAGTGTATATAGTAGACTTTTTGATCTTTTTGATACCCGACTTTTAACAAGAAATTAAACATTCATTACTTCATTTTGTATAGTATGTATGTACATAATAATTACACCGGTATGTACATTCTAACTTTATTAGTCAGGTTGGATCAGAATTTTATGGATCGGTTTCAAAAATCAGTAAATTTATGTTTTTTGGTTGTTACTCGAATACTAGCGCTTCAATTAAACCAAATTTAATATCATTCGATTCGTCTTGCTAAGAGGAATCGAATGATACCAAAATTACTCAATTATGATCAATGTATCACGAGATATCGTCAAAAAAAGTGAGTGCGTCATAATACCCACCTGCGTCAGAATACCCCCCTCCCTTATGCTTATTAATCATAAATCACTTCGTATAGAATTCCAAATTAAATCTATATTTGAACAGCTATAGTATGAATAAATTAACCATTCAAGAATTTTTTGTTCAAAATTATCCCTATACAATAGTCTTTCATCCTATAAAAGCTAGAATTAATATATTTTAGTTGAATGGTAAAAGATTAAATACTAACATGAAATATATTCTGATTGGGTGAAAGCGCGATTTAGAATTATATTTAATAGCATATATATATATACATGAATCATGATTGCAGGCATAATTTTTATATTTTTTTTTTTGTTTCATAAGTTACGTGTTTAGTATGAATACATAAAATAAAATAACTTGTTGCTTCTTTAATATATATGGTCTTTCGTCCTAATTATTAAATGCACTAGTGAAATTTGTATTAGTAATATATTTTTGACATGTTTTTATTAATCTATACAAATTCGGTCAAAAGACCATATGTAGACCTTATAAGGAGACTTATTTCTTTGTTTCAGGAATACTCCGCAGAAAATGATGCGTATCAATATTAAGAAGCGCTCACACGAAGAGGCAAGTTAGAATTAGATAGCTTATTTCTAACGTTTAATTTGAACAAGTACAAGCTCTTAGTAGTAGAAGATCTGAGATTAATATTTAAATTTAGTTGGTGAGTAGCCGATCCTCCTTGGCTTGAGATACGCCCGGAGCAGTTACTACATGACTTCGTATTGTTCACAACTATAAAAATTTTTTGGTTTGATTGTGAAATGTACAGTCCTAATTAGGAACAAAGTTGATTCTAAAATGAATTCATTCAATTTTAATTTACGAATTTAAGAGCTAAAAATTTCCTGTAGTTGGAGTCAGCAGATTTTTGTTGATGTAAAATTCTTTGGCTAAGATTGTGAAACATGCAACCCTAATACCTAATTAGTTTAGGTATGAAGTTGATTCTAAAATGAATTTATTCAATTTCAATTTACGAATTTGATGAGGCTGAAAAATTTCGTGTAGTTGAGTCAGCAGATTTTTGTGGCATAAAATTCTCTGGCTTCTAAAATAAATTCATTCAATTTCAATTTGCAAAATTTAGATCTAAAATTTTACTCCTCGATAGAAAAAATGATTAAGAAAAGCTGGAAGCTGCTTCAGATTTGTTAAAAATGATAAGAATACGTATATAAGCTTACAAAGAAAAACCTCAACAATTCAAAAAAAACAAATTTTTTTTATTCTTAAAACAATACATACCGGTAGTTCCGTATTTAATTTCGGCGACAAATAAAATAATCTTATTTAAGATCTAATTTCGGTGACAAATAAAATAATATTCAAATTCGAATTTTGGTGACAAACAATTCTATTTAAATTCTATTTTCAGTGACAACTAAAATTATTCTTTTCAGCAATGGTGCTAACGTCTGGGGTTGAGAATTGCATTTTACAATCTTACATTTCATGTAATTTTGCTTAAGTTTCAGTAACTTAGATTTCATGTAAATTTTAAATATGAAATAGTGCTAGCACTTAGCTAGCACTTAGCTAGCATTGTATAACTGCAAATTTAACCGCTTCATATTGATATAAAAATTTAAATTAATAATTGGCCACCTAAGCTTAAGTATGTTAAATTTTCAAATTTGAACACAATTTTAAATTTGGCCACTAAAAATTTTTATTGGCTGGAACTTGGTTGTCCACTCTGTAGAATAAAAAGCCCTCAGTATTATCATATGTATTGTACAAATTTAGGGTCTTAATTCAAAACTTTTACTAATGTTTCGATATTCTCGTAAAACATGAGCAAGAATTCATTCAATTTCAATTCATATGACATTTATAATTCAAGATATAAAAATTATTTTTCTTGTAGAAATTATTTACGTTTTTTTCGCAAGTTACAAGAAGCCTTTACTAAAAAAATAATATAATATAAAAAATACTAAATATAAATAACATTATATTGTATAATATTAATAATTAAAAACATATCGATATTCATCAGTTCTGTCATCAGAAAAAATTCTATGATGCCATGGTTGATCACCACCAAAACAACCCCCATGATGTTCTATACACGTATCATTTTCATCTTTTATAGTATATCCAGAATAAACTACCTCTTTTTCAGTTAAAAAATGAATCTTTTTAACATAATATCTTTTATCCTCACCCCTGTATCCGTTAAAAAAATCATATTTAATTGTTTCAGTATCTTCTGGTTTGCTTTTAAATTTCATTATCTTATGTTTAGATTCGTCATCAACTAAAACTTTTGCAAAATTATTTTCAGGATTCATTTTTAAAGTCTTGACGATCCGGTAATATTCTTCAAAGAGACCATGAAAACATTGGCCGACTTTTATTTCTTTTTTAAATATTTCTTGTAAATTATAAGGTTTCATGTTTTTATTATATTTATCTTCCAATTTTTCAGTTTGATCATTTTGTTGATTTAAATTTTTTATCTGTTCTTTCAAATTTGTAATTTCGTTATTTAATTCATTTTTTTGCCGTTTGATATTTTCATTTTCTGCTTTGAGGTTTTTGTATTTTCTTTTTAATTTTAGATTTATTTCTTTCTCATTCCTTAACGCTTCACTTTCTTTGAGCATATTTTGTTGTAATTGTTTATTGATTACGGGTCGCTTGTTTAAATATTTTTGGATTGGCTGGTTCATTTTTTTGATTTTGTTTTGGTTCTATTAAATGCGGGTTTCTTAAATAATTTCGAAATAAAAAATTTCAAGTGGAGAGATTTTGATTTTTTTTATCTTTATTTAAAGCCACAAATAATTTTTTTGTATATTCTTTGAGGTTTTTTCAAAGATCTGTTTTTTATAGAATTTTGATTTTGTTGAGGTTGTTTTTTTACAGATTTGATTTTGTTGAATTTTTTTTGGTCAAGATATTTTCTGCTTAGATTTTGGCTAGAGTTGTGAGCTGTAAACTTTGTTTGTTTTAGAGTAAAATGTAGTTTTAGTTGTTGAGGGAAAAGGTTGCGAACGAGTCTTTAAATAACTTTTTCTTCGGAATGAAATCCCGTGACGGAAAAGAAAAGAATATTATTTATATTATTTTTAGAAAATATTCTAACTTGATAATCTATTCGAACAGAGAAGACTGTGTTATACGGCATTTTGCAATAATTTAAAAATTTTGAAAACTATCATTACACGGTCCCCTGTCTGAAGAGACATAGAATGTCCAGACTTATGTGATTTCATCGAACAATGAAAATCTTTCAAATTCCTTTAGCTAATGGAATTGATTTATCATTATACCAAATTAATGATTCATGTAAAGGATTTGGTAACAAGAATAATGAATCGATTGGTGAACTATTATTTGCATTCTTCAAATAGTGAGTCATATCTGTAATGTCTTGAAATTATTGTTAAGGGTGATGCTGAAATTGGCTAACGCTGGTAGTTGGGCTATTTTCATACGAAGTTGTTGGATCTAATTGTTTAATCTCCTTCTTTATAATTATGTCGCGGTTGTAGTGATACGGGCCAATGGAAAAATCTTAGGTCGAGGCCGGCCCGGGCCGGCCCAGGTCAGCCCGGTTGGTCAGAGCTGATCTTTTTATGAAAGATTTTGAAAGATTTTGAAAGATATTCAACCTTTATCGCACTTTAGACATGGATTGGGGAG